GGCTGACCCGGAGCTGGGTGCAGCCCACCCCAAGATCCCCCGTTAAACCACCTGAGCCCCATCGGGGCCTTCAAGCCCTTTTCCCTCCTCCAGCCCCAAACTCCACTTCTAATAAAAGGAAGCTGTCCTCTCACTGTTTCCGGTGGGCCACAATATCCAGCCAGGATGGACTGCTGTGTTGCTGTTGCCTGTATTTACTTTTATGGCTATTTTTCCTGCTATGGACTAATACTGTTTTCTTTTATTTATGGTGGTGGTGGTGTGGGGGGGTAAATGTCCTGAAGTGCATTTCTGTTCTGAAAAGGCAATCTGTATAAATAACTGCCAGGGTGACAATGATATCGGAAATCATGAAGCAGGTCTTCAGGGAAAGGACAAGGGAAGTCCTGGGCCGGGCACTGCTACAGAATGGACACTGAGGCTCAGGGAGGGAGGGGACAGGACGAGAGTCACATAGATTGGTGGCAACACTGCATCTCCTGCTCCCAGCCCAGTGCTCCCTCCCTTGTGACCCGCCAGCCTTCCCAGCTGCGATTCCTAGTGATTCTGGAAATCCCTTGCACCAGGATTCTTTCCCCACCACGGTCCCTGAGCCATTTAAAAACCCAAGCTGGGGCCCGGGATTTAGCTCAGTGGTTCTGCCGCCTGCCTCGCAAGCACAAGGTCCTGAGTTCAATTCCCAGTAGCAAAAAAAAAAAAAAAGATAAAAACCCAAGCTGCAGAGGCAGGCGGGGCACAGGGCTCACCCCGGCTTAACAATGCTCAGACAAGCAAGTCTGGCGCCTGGAAATCATGTTTCTACTCAACTGCCTTCACCACCTTCCTCTTAGCAAATCTTCCTAGCTCAAGTTTTAAATGCTCTTCTCCTTTTGCTGTGATCAAAGGAGTAGCTTGTTCCCCTGATAGGGGACAAAAGATGTCAGAGAGACTCGGGGGAGAGTACAGTTGCCACCCCTTCCTTTCGCCTGGAGGAAAGAGACAGGCAGGGCAGCTGGGGCTGGGTGGCTCTTAGGATGAGGGCAGCTGTGTGTGTACAGAGATAAGGGCACTAGTCAAGCAGGCACACAAAGGGGTCCCGGGGACAGGCTGATAACTTGGTGCCAGTAGCTGACATCAGTTGGGTGACCCCCATTTGCTTTGGGGTAACCACACTTCAGGAGGTGTAGACTCCATCCCAGCTCTGGGGCTGTGTGACTCAGACATGGCCAGCAGGAGTCTTGCTCACTCCTGATCATGGTGATTGATTCTGAGGTGGGTGTATGACCCAATCAGAGCAATAGAGGAGCATCTTTGGGCCCTTTAGACCCACTTCTTGGCCTTTGTGTAGCAATGCAAACTTGGAGCTGCTAGGGATTTTGCCTGAGAGGAAGTGAGGAAATGGAGTGTCCAAACAGAGAAATGGACACTGAGTCCTGGTGATCTTTAGCTCCTAGATCAAGCCACACCTGAATGTAGAACAGGAAAATCTCTTTTTTACTTAACCTGTTGAGTTTTTTCCTTTTCTTTGTGACAAAAGACAGACATTTCCTGGTCACTCTTATCACTTGAGGCTCTATCCTCAGGCGCATCACCTCCTATAGTGTCCCTCTTTCTTTGCCCTAAGAACTTTCCAATCAGTCTCTCCCATCAGTCACGTTTCTAGGCTCATTACACCAGCACTGTAGAGGGCACAAGTCCAGATGGGGAAGTCTTGCCTCAGGGCTATAGCACAAGGACAGCTCCTGGCATGAGTCATGTCTTTGCTGTTGTCTCTGTCTGGTGTCTTCCCATACACCCGTCAGCCCTAAGGAATGGCTTCAAAGTCCCTGTAGTCCCGTGACTCCCACAGCCTAGGTCACTCTCCTTGAACTTGACAGGCCAATTTCTAGTCCCTATGAGAAACATCTGACACCTACTCTCGTCCTAGGCATGGTAAGTGCAGGAGCAGTCGAGAATCAACACTACTACCTACCCGGTGCCCACCGCCCGCTGCACCACCTCAGGCCCTCTCCTGGGTTCCCCCACCTGCTGTGGATGGGCTGAGGTAGGTGCAGGCTCAGCCCTGGCCTCCACAGGCACAGGACAGGCATGGTCCCAGGCCTCAGGGAGCCCACAGCAGGGAAAGAGAGGAATCAAGCAGCCCCCCAGCCCTGTGTCTTGCGCTTCTGCCTGTTAACAGCATCTCCACCCTCCCTGACTCGGGCATTTCCTCAGCTCCCAGCCTGAGAACTAGCCCCAGTTTCTCACTTGTACGACAAGATAGAAGAGCCACCCGAGATCACCCAGTAAGGAGCAAAGTGAGTCTCAGACTGGGGAAGGTGCAGAGCCCCTGGACAGAATGGCTGGGATCCAAATGCCACCCTCCAATTTCCTGGTTCAAAGCTCTTTAGGCACCTTTCTCTTCCTCCTGTGAGGCAGGAGTGCAGACTTTCTTTCAAACTCCTAAACTTCCCATAAGAAGGAGGGATTGAAGCCAGGCCTGGTGGCACTCACCTATAATCCCAGCACTCTGGGAGACTGAGCCAGGAGGATTGCAAGTTCAAGCCCAGCCCGGACAATTTAGCAACTTAATGAGACTTTGTCTCAAAATAAAGAATAAAGTAGGACGTGGTGATGCATGCCTGTAATCCCAGCACTTGAGGAAGCTGATGCGGGATGATTGCAAGTTCAAGACCCATTTGGGCAATTTAACAAAAATTTGTCTCAAAATAAAAACATTTTTAAAAAGGGGCTGGGGATGGAGCTCAGTGGTAGAGTACTGGGTTTGATCCCCAAAACCACTAATTAACTAACTGAAAAATAAATGACTGGGGATGTAGCTCAGTGCAAAGGCTCAGGGTTTAATCCCCAGTACAGCAAAAAAAAGAAAGAAGAAAAGGGTTGGAGAGCGAAGCTTCTCAGCCACAGCCAAGGTTCGTCTTAAGCCAACTGGGTCCCTTGGAGACACCCTGACTCCGGGCTCTCTTGTGGGTCCTGGTCCCTGGCTCAGGTTGTCCCAAGAGAGCCACAGTAGCAGTTCGGCCACCAAGGACCAGACAGGGCCAGCCTCAAGCCCCTGAGCCCCCACTGCCCTTTCCCCGTACACAGATGTGGTTACATTGTTCACCATGGGACCAGGAAGGCCACCACGGCCACCATTAGAAACCTGATCCCAAGTCACTGATTAAAACCAGGAGGGGGTTTTAATCAGCCCGGCCGTATGCTATTTAGCCAAAGATGAAAGCACAAGTGATAAGCATCATCTCCGAGAGGATATCGTTAAAGGAAGAGCAGAGCACTGAGTGGCATCTTTCATCATTACAGCGGCCTGCCAGGTCTCATCAGGGGCTCCGAGAAGCATCTGGACCCTGTCTATTAACCAGTGCTCACAATGTCATTGTGTCGGACGCCAGCTCCCAGGCCCACTCCACACTGAACTTCTAAATATACAATGAACACTATTAATTATAGTTACCAAATCACCAGAATGATCCTTCATTAACTTAACTACCTCTTGTATTTTATCTGGAGATTATATTCTGTCTGTTCTGCATTCCCACATTTGAAGCCACCCATTGGCAGGTGGCCTGTGATGTGTGGCAAGCCACTTGCAGGAAGCTGGCCTGTCCTCCTGTCGCCTCCTCCACAGGCCGGAAGCCACAGAGGCCTCCAGAGTACTCTGTGTGCTTGTCAGGCAGGAGCAGGGGCTGGGAGATGGAGGCGATGGCAGTGGAGCTCGGCAGACACCACTCATGGGCCCCTGGCAAGCTGGACCTCTGATCAGATCAGACAGAACCGAACAGTGTGTGTGGCAACATGGAGAAGAAATGGTGGTCATCGTCATCTGCATTGCTGTGGACCAGGGAGAGATCCTCGACCCCACCACTGGCAGCCTGGGATCATCCTGCTCACACTGGGCAGGGGCTTAGGGCATCACGAACCCACTGCAGAGATGGACAAACTAAGATTTGGAAAAGGGGAAATGATCTCGGGACTGCAGAGCAAACCATCAGTCAAGCTGGGCCTCCAGCTTGGTGGATCTAGCTCCCAAGGGATGAACACACCCTGTGTGTGCCTGGGTGACAGGTGCAACTGTGGAGTTGTCATTCAGGGAGTCTCACCCTGCTCCTCTTTAGCCAGAAGGGTGCGCCCCTGCCTGCTCCATTGCCTGGGGTTTGGCCCTGTGACTTGCTTAGGCCAATGGGTTGGGAGTATATACGGTGGCCACCATAGTCCCTGCTTGTTGGGTGGTCAAGAGATGCTCAGAGCAGGGAAGGAGGGAGGAAGCAAGGAGAGAGAAAGAGAGAGAGAGAGAGAGAGAGAGAGAGAGAGAGAGAGAGAGAGAGAGAGAGAGAGACATAAGGCATAGCCTGGCTTCCTAAAAGGTCCTATGAAGATTACACAACTATACCTGGCCTAAGCACTGCTTTGCCTCCAGTGGAATTTGGGACCCTGGCATCTCAGCATGGGGAGGAGCAGTATATTCTGGGGTGCAGAGTCCTCTATTGTCTAAGGACATTAGGACAGGGAGGAGAAATGAGGCAGGAATGTGGGAGCTCCCCAAGGCTGGACTGCTAGTGCCAGCGAGCCCTCATCCCCTGGGCAGCTGATGGGTCTGGGCAGGGATGCAGCATAGTCAAAGCGATGTTCTAAACACCCCACTGTCTGCAGCAGAGGGACCAACAAGAGGGAACAGGGCCAGACAGGGACCTTGCAGGGCTGGCTCCACTGGAGGAGCAGCTGGAGTGGAGGGTGGTGGGGCTGGAATTTCTGGGACCAGTCCCCAAAGGCTGAGAAGGCACAGCCAAGGATGACTCCTGAGCTCCTGGGATGGGCTGTCTTGCCACTGGCTGAACTGGGGAGAAGGCTGGGGTAAGATGATGAGTTATTTTTGTTGTTGTTGGTTTGGGGGGGGGGCATGTAGCTGGAACTCCTTGCCCACAGCCTGGAGATGGTCATTGTGGCCATGGGAGTAGATGACACCCCAGAAAGTGAGTCCATGGAAAAGACAAGAAGGCCAGGGCTGAGACCTGAGCAACATCTCTATTTTTACATTTTTTATTTTGAAATAATTATAGATTCATAGGAAGTTGCAAAAATATCACTGAGAGGTCCTGTGTTGCCATGTGTGATGCCATCTTAAAAGGAGAACTAGGCAGAGGTGACTGCCAAAGAGGGCATGAGAGGCTGCAGGAATCTAACAGAAAAGCAGTTTCACTTTGGATCTGGTTTGGCTGTAAGCAAGAGTGGTGCAAACAAGCAAGAAATGATTTCTTCCTCATAGAAGACAGTGGCACCTTGGTACTCACTGTTAATTGGTTCTGGGAGATGCACCAAGTACCAAAAACAAGTACCAAACGAATTGCTTTGGCTGGAAAAGGTAGCAAACCATGAATCACAAGGCAATCGACACTGACAAGTTCTAGCTTGTACATCAAATACCAAACAAATGACCAGTACAGGGACAAAATGTTCACATCCAAATGCATGAGTACCAAATCCAATGGGTTTCAAACCAGAAAAGTATCAAGGTACGACTGTAATCTAAATGTGGGTGTCCAAGCCCAGAACAGAGGTCGCGCTTCTCTACGTCCTCAGAGACACAGGCTTCTTCCAGCCACTCCACCATCTCTAGGGTATTGTCTTTGTTCTCCCGGTCCAAAATGGTGGCTAGAATTCCACCTATTACAATCTCCTTTCCGTGCAACAAAATGGAAGAAGGGACACAGAATAAAAGAGATAACAAGTATATCTTTTTTCTTTTCTGGTGCTGGAGCTTGAACCCAGGACCTCTGCATTGAGTGACATTCCCAGATCTTTTTACTTATTTTGAGACAGGGTTTCACTAAGCCATTGAGTTGTCCAGTCTGGGTTCAAACCTGCAGTCCTCCTGCTTAGGCTACCCAAGTGCTGGGATTACAGACATGTGCCTTGGTGCCCAGCTACAAATAAGCTATCTTTTTTTTTTTTTTTTGGTACCAGGGATCAAACTTTGGACCTTGCGCTTGTGAAGCAGACGACAGAACCACTGAGCTAAATCCCGGGCCTAAATAAGCTATCTTTAAGGAAGATTCCCAGGAGCTGCCTGCCACATGAAACTTACCAGACACATGATTAGAATTTAGCTGTAAAATTTAGCTGCAAGTGTCTCAGAAGTGCAGTCTTTATTCTTGAATTTGAATCCAAAGTTTCTGTTACCAAGGAGGAAAGAGAGAACAGATCCCGACTAGCAACCAGCATCCTGTGCACAGAGTTCACAGGCACAGGGATTCTAACAGGTAGGGGGTAGTCAACATCATGGGAAATGCCCAAGAAACCAAGACAAGTGGCTGATGATGTGTCCCATGGATTTAGGGACCAAAAAGTCAATGACAACTTAATAAGGACAATTGTCCATCTGACCCCAGAGCTCTACCTCTTTCCGGTGGGTGGGGAGAAAGGCAGAGGCGATGGAAATGGAGGTGTTAGGCAGAGAGTGCCAATCCAGACCAGGAGATGGCAGCGCACTGGCAGGAAAGGGAGGTGAGGGAAGGCGGGGTTAGGGTACCAAGGAACTGATGATTTGGGAAGACCCAAGACACTGTGAGAAGGACAGAGGGAGATGCAGATTTTATGGCCTCCAAGGCAGTTTACAGTGGGGCCCAGGAGTGGATGGTTACAGAAGAGAGTAAAAGGAGGTCTCCATGGGGGCAGGTGTCACACAACTGAGAGCTAGGGTCCAGGCAGGTGTGGAAATCCCCCAGGGGTAGGGAGAGGTGGAGGCTGGGCCTTGCTCGAGTGCTCCCAGGTGTCTGCAACTCCACCGCCCTCTTTAATGTTCTCCTGGTTATTATGACACCTGCCCAATGCATCAGTGGTTCCCCATGGGTTTCCAGGAGGCTATCCAAACTGCTCACCGTCTCCTTCCAGGCCTTCCCTGAGCACCTAGCGCAGATCAGTGGGCTGCCCCACCGGCTGGGTCAGTCACAGCCCACACACCTGCCACCTGGCCTCTTCCTCCTCCTCCTCCTCTCGTGTCTCTCCCATCAATTTCTTGTTTCATAAAAATCAATTTCTGTCCTGTTTTTGCCATGTACATAAAGGACTGTGGCATCAATTAGCCTTCGTTCTCCCTCCCCCATCCGTTTTCCTCTTCGTCTTTTTTGGAAACCTCTTTGTAGGGAAAATCTCATATTTCAGCAATTTGCATTATCCACACACTCAGCTTTGAAGTTCTAAGTTATGGTAAAAAAAAGGCCCACTTATCTGCCCATAAAAAATGTTCAAAGCTTATAAATTCCCTGAAACAGATGTACATTATCATTGGATTTGCCTTTCTTTTTGCTAGAGCATGCCTAATAGCGTTTCGGCCGCCCCCTGGCCCCAGTACCCCGCCCCCATTAGCATCTTGTCTCTGCAGAAGCCCGCTCCCCACTGAGCCAGGCCGACTTCAAAGGTCCCGCGCTGTCTGTGAGAAGCACTACACAAAGTGGGAACATAGGGACCTTTTAAATCCCCCACGTTTAAGTCAATATCATGCCTCCCTTCTTTCCCCTCTCCCAGCAGAGGGACGTAAGTCAGCTGCTCCTGCTCTGTCTCTGAGCACCAGTTCAGCAATTACCAGAGCCAGACAGAGGCGTCTCCCTCCCTGGCTCTCCCATCCCTGCCCTCTCTCTTTCCCACATTCCTTTTTCTTCCTTCATCGCTTGAGAAATGCTGCTCAACAGCAAGGAAGGGAGTGCTGACCCCAGGTGTGGACAAATAAGTGGCTCCTAAAGGCTTTCAAGGGGACACAGGTCACCAACAACTTCTATTGGTTGAGTTGCCACTGTATCCTACAATAAGAATCCCCTCTCCAGGCCGCTGTCTCCAATTCCTCTCCATGCCAAGGCCAGATTGTCACATCTTGTTGTCCCCTTGCTGCTTTTCCAACTTTTTGGTGTCTTTTAGGGTGATGTCCCCTGTACCCTGCAGGCCCTGCCCACCTGGTGCATCTTCCTTGCCGCCTGTGCTCAGCCATGCTGGCTTCTTTCAGTTCTTCCCAAGTCCACCCCCTGCCACCTCAGGGCCTTTGCACGAGCTACCCCCTCTATCTTTCCATCTGACCAACTCCTCAACCTTCCACGTACATCTTGGAGAGTTCCCTTCCTGCCCCTAACCCCAATCACATCCCCTCTGTTCCCTCTTGAATCTCCCAGAAGTTATCACCATGTGTAACACTGTCACCTCTGTGTGAGAGATGTTACCCCACTAGCCTGCAAGCTCCACAGAAGTACATAGAGATGATGTCTGCTTGGCTTAGTGCTGAGCATGGCTGCTGACGGATAGTAGTTGGTCACTAAATACTTGAAAGTATCGGTGGACAGAGGATCCTGGAGATAAGAGGCTGGGATGGGTGTCGACCTAGGAAAGGTCAGCAAGGCCAGGGCTGACCCCTCTGAGCAGCGAGGGCCAAACTTGGGCCATTCTTTGCTTTGTCCAAATCTTGCCTAAAGTTCCTTGTATGGGAAGGGTAATCACACCCCAGAGACTGCCTTGCTACAATGTAACTGCACAGCAAGATAATCCAATGTCAAATTCTTTCTCCAGAAGGAAAAAAGGAAGGAAACAAAGGAAGGAGGGTTGGAGGAAGAGAGGGAGGGAGAGAGGAAGGGAGGGAAGAAAGAAAGGTCACAGTGAAATATTTTGGCCAGTTTCTAGACCAAATCACAATCAGATGCTGTTTTTGAGGACAGTCAGAGGAAGTGGAATCAGGTGACCTTGGCTAAGATGGCCAGGGGCCCCCACTCCATCTGGAGAGGATCTGGCCAGGGAACCTGAGCCACCCGAGGTCACAAGGACCCCTGCACCTGGACTGTGCTCAGAGCACAGCGTTACCCCTTTCTTTCAAGTACCCCAGCCCCGAATGTCCCAGCCAAGTCCCAGTTCTCCGCCTGTGCAAATGCTGCTGTCCCTGTCTGCTGGCAGAATCAATTTGTTCATGTGCCTGAGCACCAGGATCCCATGGGAAAGATGCTCCGGTGCCCATCTGTGTTTACAAACCCAGCCACCAAAGATGCCTTGTGTGTGACAGCAGGCCACATGCTGGGTCTGGCTGTGGGCCACACTCAGGGAGCCAGGAGTGTGTATGCTTCAGCTGCTCAGCAGGCATCTCACAAGCACCTCCTTCCCTGGGCCCATGGTGGACAAGACAGTGCCTGGGGAAAGTGGATCGTCAGGCAGCAACATGGCTGAACATGGATGCTCACTATTCGCAGGGGCTGTGCTTGTGAATTCACCTACACACTCAAATTTATCTGTAACTCTGAAATCAAGATTTGTGGTGTTTCTGTGGTTGTTCACGGACCCGTGCAGAGCAGCAGGAATTTTGAGCTGCCAGGCTGCACGTTCCCAGATGAGGTTGAACAAGGCCATGCTCAGCCTTCTTGTTCCAGCTCTCCTCTAGCAAACAAATGTCCTTTTCACGGTCTATTTAGTGCCACTGTGCTTTGTGCTAGTGATTTTGCTGCCTCGTGTGAAAGTGCCCTCTGGTGTCCCCAAGCACAAGAAGCTGTGATGTGCCTGAAAGAGAAACTACATGGGTTCCATACACTTCATTTGGGCTTGTGGGACAGTGCTGTTGGCCGAATTCAAGGTGAATGGAACAATAGCCATTGAAGAAGGTGACTTTAAACAGTGACACACAAAACAGGGGTCTGCATCCATTGGCCAATGTCAAGGTTGAGACAAGAGGCTGGCAAGAATGTCACCCTGAATCTCCCCTGGGAGCAGGGCTCAGTGCTTGCTGATGAATTCAGTGTTCAAGGCAAAATTAGTGACATAACCACTGGGATAGATAAGCACAGATGTAGTCACAAACATGGCCAGCACTGGGAGTGCCAGGGACCAGTGGGCACCACGAGAACCTGGGCCTCAGCCAGGCCAGTATCCCTTACTCCCAGGGCTCCACTCCCTCACATTGTCCCGGACTTGGTGGCCCAGGGAGCAAGACTGGCTTTGGTTGGTCTTTGTCAATGCCTGTTGGCTCCTGGAAGCCTGGGTCCAGTGACTAATGGCTTGTCCCTTGGACAGGTGTCACACTTATGTTTAGCCCTACCGTGTATTAAACATGGGTTTGGTAAGTTGCTTGTCTGGACTGTAACTCAGCTTCCTTGTTGGTTTCCTCACAGCACTGTTCTGAAGACACCAGGGACACTGGTTGAGCACACAGCAGGTGCTCCATAAGTGGGGGGGCTCCGTGATTTAGACTCCTCAGCATCCTGGGGCTCAGGTTTGGGCGAGAGTCCCTGAGAGCAAAGACAGTCCCAGATGAGGGGCCGCCAACGATGGTTCCAAGGGACTCCCCTCCCCCAAAGGCTTCTAGGCTGCAGCCCCTACCACTCCCCCAGAGCAGTCACTCACGGGGGGCATATTCAGACCTGGGGACAGTGTCCTGTGCAAATGCGGTATTGAGGGCCCAGAAGAAGACAGGACCTTGTCAAGTCCACACTGCCAATCTGGTCTGGAAGGAATGAAGTGACCCCATGGAGCTTGGGAGGGAAGAGCAACGAGTCAGATGGAGTGGCCCTGAGCATGTGGCAGAGAGGGCGTATGTGGGGCAGCTGCCTCACTGGGGGCTCTGAAGCCAGGGTGGGGGAAGGCACCTTCCATGATTTGGGAGAACATCTCCTTCCTCAATGCCCTCGGAGGCACAGTCCCACTGCCTCTGACACGATGCCACTGATTGACAGCCTACTATGTGCTGAATGCTCCATGCACATTTAATCCAATCCTCACAACAGCTCTGTGAAGTGGGCACACTGATTAGCTGTGTTGCAGAGAAGGAAACCAAGGCACAGAGAAGTCAGGCCCCGGATCCAATGGCACACAGCTGGTAAATAGCAAAACTAGGGTTGAAAGTCCCTGCTGTCAACAATGGGCCATTCTGCCCACTCTAATCGAGGCCCAAGCCTGCATGCTATGGTCTGGCTCCTGGCTCCTGAAGATCTATCCACTCATCCAGATCTGACATGGCAGGTCCAGAGAATTTACAGCACATCCTCTTGTGTCTGCAGGAGCTACAGTCAGTGCCTGGGCTGGACAGGGCAGTGCTGGGTCCCCTGCTGAATCCCTCCAGATTGGCAACCTTTCTGCTCCCCACTCCAGGAGAGCTGGGTGGTGTCTTTCATTCAGAGCTCCAAGTGTAAGATGGTCCTCTCACATTTACTGCCTTGCTGAAGCCACACAGGCCTCCATAGGCCCATTTCACAGAGAAGCAAACTGAGGCTGATAGGTGAGGCCACTGCAAAGCCAGAGGGAACCAGCTGATCTTTGGAGCTAGAGCTCAGTCTACCCACTTTGGCACTTTGCAGAGTGTACGGGCAGAAGGGGGGATATGCTGTGAGTGAGGGTCTCCGGGCTGCCCCCACAGGCCTCCTATGCCTGCAACTCCCATTAGCCCTTCTCCTGGATGAGTCTCCCTCATTAGGCCATTTTTAACTGGCATGGCTGACTCCCAGGGTAAGGGGGTGAGGGAGGCCAGGGTCACGGGCTTCGAGGCCAGGCAGGCACAGGGACAGGTGGAAGGGGTGTGCGCCATCCGAAGGGGCAGGCATTCCTCAGCTCCAGCAGTTTGCTGCTGTGGAAGTGTGAGCCTGATCAGAAAATGTGATCTCCTTTTCTGATTTTTATACGAAAAGCCTCAAATCTAGATTTTTAGGTGAACCCTCCAGATTTTGGCAATTCATTCAAAATGACTGAAACCATGATGGGTCAAACATTACCCAGTGGGTAATGCTAGGTATGGTGCTGGCATTCAGAGGGCCAACTCCCAGAGGCTGGGCACGGAGTGGGAAGGGTGAGGAGGGATGGAGTTCCAGACCCCACAGCTTCTCAGGGGCTGTGGCTCTAGGCAGGACTTGCCCTGTGTTGTGCACCAAGAGACGAGGCACAGGGCACCACTGGACTGGCATGTTGGTCGAGGCTGGGGATGCCCCCTCCCCAGATGGTCTTTGGCAGGCAGCAGGGGCCACAGGCCAGAAGAGGCCTGTGAGCTGGTCTGGGCCCAGCTTCCGGGACAAGTGTCTACCTGGACCATACCCCCAACCGAAATCTTAGTTCTCCTATCTCTCCAATGGGAGGAAACCACGATGAACATCTGATCATCACAATGAAGATATTTTCCTTTTAAATAAAGCTAAATTATGGCCTTACTTTAAAAAAAATGCTCTAAATAACTGAAGACTACAGGATTTTCCCCTTCTATCCTTTTCTTCTTCTTCTTTTAGTTGTTAACATCCTTATTTAGCAAAATTAAAACTTGGCAATGTTGTGTTGCTTTCCCAAATTTTTATTTGAAATGTTCCTGCTTTGGAAAACTCCAAAGTCAAGAACACACAGGCAGAAGGATGCCATGCATGGAGCCAGGATTGTGAACTCTTTCATCCCCTCCCTCCTCCCTCCCTCCCCTTACTTCCACTTCTTAACCACCTACCATGTGCCATGCTCTAAGGAAACAGCACTGCCTCAGAAGCCCCTGCCCACAGGGACCTGGCAGGCCAGGAGAAAGACAACCCAGAACCGGGGATCCAACCTTCCCGCTGCCTCTCTGTCTGGGCACCAGCTAGGGCAGCTCTGGGAAGCGAGGCCTTGTTGGAAAAGGAAAAGCAAGCCTCCAGCTTTGATGCAGGCATCCAGAATTCTGGCATCAGAAATAGCTAGAAAAAAGTTGCTTTGGTGGTGTAGGTGGAAGTCAGAGTTCAGGTGGGGAAGGGCTAATTCTTTCTATGCTGTGGGGACTTTAAGGCCTTGGTCCTTCTCTGCTTGTCACCCTAAGGTCTGAGTGACAGCCAGGGTGTCCTGGACTTTTCTCCAGGCTTGTTCTCAGGTCCTGGCAGCTCTTTAAGGAACCTTGTACCCTAGTCCTTCTCCTAAGACCCTAATGCCCTCCTCATATACCTCTCCTTGCTGACGGGGAGCTGAGGAAGGGCCCTCAGACGTGACCCCACAGCAGCCCCTTGTGGTGGCAGCACAGGATCCCACAAGCTTGGAGCCAAGCTGGTCTGCAGCAAGGCAGGACCACTGGCGGCTGCTCTCAGCCCACTTCCCAAGGCTGGTCTTGGTCCAGGGCCCTGAGGACACATGAAGGCTGGGGAGGGAGGTTTTCAAGAGTTCGTGCCTATCCCCCTAGTGGCAGGTTTCGATCTTCAGCCATGGGAGGGCAGTGACTGTGTGGTCCCGGCACCAGGGGTCACTCAGATCACCCTAGCTGGAGGACACTCAGACTCACTAAATCTGCCTCTCCTGGGGGCCCATGGCTTTAGGGTAAGGGAGGAGGGGTGTTACCGAGTCCTCCAGTCCTGTCCTCTGGCAATCATGGCCACTTGCTCCACATCCATGAAGTATTTGGATTCCAGGAGGGGCAGGGGTCTGCCTCCCCTACATTAATGCTCATCCTCCTTTGAGGCAGCTCCTGGGCCACCACCCTGCTTGTGCCAAGGTGTAGGCCCCGTGGGTCCCCAGACCGTGTGAAGTCTCTGGGCCCAAGTGCAGCAGCTTTTTCTGGGGGTGGGGAGTGCATCAAAAGCACCGGTCCCTGAACCTCACCCTAGACCCACCCAATCCCACCGCACCCTAAGAGATTCCCACAGACCCTGAAGTTAGGCATGTCCCTCAAAGGGCACTCCGAGATCATCTGGGGAAACTCAAGACTTTAGTCTCAGACTAAACGCATAGGATGTCACCCGGGAGCCTGAAACATCACAACACCTAGGCCACACCCTAGACCTGCGAATCAGCATCATCAGAGGTGGGACCCAGGTACTCATCTTTGAAAACCTCTCCCCAGGTGATCTGAGCTCAGTACACACAGGATATGAGTCCCTGTGTGAGCCTCCTGCTCTGCCTGCCTCTACTGCCAACAGGCTGGCCTGGGCCAAAGCCTTGCCTGGAGGTTGAGTAGGGATCCTCTTGTTTCTGCCAAGCTTGAGGGTTAATAGTACTAGGGCTGTTCTACTATGTGGGAGAAGGCAGGTGTGTGTATGTGTGCGCGCGCTGTCTACACCGCTAGCAAGCTGGGGATGGGCACCAAGGCCAGGCTCTGCCAGCTTCTCCGCAGGACTTCTGCTTCGAAGAGGGCCTCGCCTTCATGTCCCTCCTCATGCTGGAGGAAGATGCAGGGTCCAGGAGGCTCTCTGCTGTCAGGAAAGTCACTCAGACGTAGCAGTCCTGGGAAGAGGGCTTAGGTTCGAAGGTCTGCTGCTGTGGGAATGATGAGACCAAGAACCAGACCAGAGCCCCCAGCAGAGTGACCATGGGACATGATAAAGGTTCATGCCTTGGAAAGAGGCCCTGGCATGGCTTTTAGGAGTCAATAAAGCTGGTGGCTGAACCATTTGTGCCCACTCTGTAAATCTCAGCTCTGCATGTGTCTGGGGAAGTGGAGGCAGGGGCAGGACTGGACAAGGCTGGAAAGACAGCAAGCTGCCTTGGGGTCTAGGGGCACACAACCCCCTGGTATCTGCTGCATAGCCGACAGCCCCATCTTCCAGGAGGAGCTGAGGGAGTTGGGTGGGCATTCTCAGCCCACTGGCTCTAAGTGCATTTTAGGGTCCCAAGGTGCTGACAGGCCTTGAGGCAGCTGGGTCATTATTATGGCTCCCAACAGATCCAGTGTTGAGGTGCAGATGCCCCTGCCCTCCTCCCACCTGAGACTGCCTTCCCTCTGGCCTAGTAATGATTTGGGATCTGACTGCTGAGGAAAAAAAGAAACAAAAAACTTCTGGCTGTTTGCTTTGCTGAGAAGTGTAACTGGCATGTTGTACACCAGCCCCCTTGGCTCCCTGACGTCCTGTGCTCTCTGGGAGAAGAAAGCAGGCCCTGGCTGCTGGGGGTCTCCTTAAGCACACCAAGTGTCCTTGGCACCCAGTGACACATCAGCAGAGATGGGCCATCCTGCAGCCGGCCAGCTAATGCCATGTGCATGTGTGCCTGCAGCCAGCAAAGCCACAAGTCTTTCTCCCTACAACTTCTCCAGGCCCCAGGGAACCCCACGCTGAATTCAGGGCCCAGAAGCAGCACCTGTCCTCTGGAATTGGGTCAGCTTTGCAAACAAGACCATACTTCTTGCCCACAGCAGCCTGCAGGAGCATGTGCTCAAAACCTCACATGGCTACCCTTCTCATTTTCTTTCCCTCCCCTCCTTTTCATTCCTCCCCTTTCTCTCTCCCTTCTGTTTTCTTTCTTCTTCCTTTGATTTCTAATTATTTCATACAACCACTTCCAGAGGTCACTTACAATAGCATCAAAATTGAAATCACACTTGCTCTTGAATTCAGCAGTTGTGTCAACACCTTCTGTCACCGGTGCTCTTGCCAGTGGACACAGGGACAAGCCGTATTCAAGGGCCCTCAAATACAGTGTGTCTGTCAGAGCCCAGGATGAGAGATGACTCTCAGGCCTGCAGGAGGGGGCAGTGCCTCTAGGCAAGAGAAGATAGAACAGCTGTTAGGAGAAAGGGGCAGAGCTCAATGACCAAGGGGTAAAAGCTCCAGATATATTAGGTTGCAGAGAAAAAGGGTGCAAGTATGAATACTATGCTGTTCCTTGAATAAAAATAAAAGGGTGGGGTGGGAAGGGGATTAAGCAGTAACTACAGGGATTTCTTTCTTAAAAATAGATCTGAAACTAATACCGCAAAATATCAGCATTTGTAAATTCTGGGTGATGTGTTCAGTTAATATTATACAATTTCCTATTTCAAATTTTGTGCTTCGAATTTTATTTTTGTACCAGGGATTGAACTCAGGCCCTTGGACTTGACAGGCAGGCGCTGGGCTGCTCAGCTATATTCCTGGTCCTGAATGTTTTAAAATTACAAAATTTATATGGGGAGATATCTTACATAAATGCTTTTATTCTGGTCTGGTAACAAAGGATAGCTACTTGGATAGTGCTTGCCAAGGGGAAACTGAGGTACAGCTGACAGGGTGCTGAGCCTTGAACCTAGGAACCACTGGCTGTGCTGCCAACCAGCACACCATGCCTGCAGCTGCTGGATGGCCCCAGGAAGCCAGCATCAGACACTGGTGAGCCGGACAGAGGCAAGTTCACTTTTATTGTATGCTTTTCATACTATTTGAATCTCTCACATGTACACATTACTACTTAATAAATGATTATTAGAAGCTGGGGCCAAACCAGTTTACCACGAAATAACAGGATCCTAACAGGTGTGGGGCAGGAGGAGGTAGTGACCTCTTCTCAGAAGCTGATTGTTCTGACACCACTAGGGCCAACACCATGGCTGGGTTCCACTGTTGTGGCTACTGTGGGCCCAGGGACCATTAGTTCCTGTCTTCTCAGCATCCCTCCCCTGATACCAGTGCTGCCACCAATGGAGAGGTGACCCCAGGTGGGTCATGGTAACTGGTATGAGATGGCCTAAGCCAATCCATGTCTTTGCTAGCTTTCCTCTAGTGGAAGAGCCTTCCCTTCTGATGTGGGATCCAGAATGCCACAGCCAGGGCTCTTGACACAGAGTATCTTAGGGTACAAGTCCAGAGAGAGAGAAGCAAAACCAAGTCCCAGCTTCATTCACACTTGGATCCTGTCATCTCAAAGCCAGCTCCCTCCCTGCTCTGGTTACATTCACCTCATCAGAGGTGGATCCTGACTGAACAGGGATGTCCAAACTCAGTGGTTACACCCTCTACAGTGGTTAAGGGATCCTACAGGAGACTAGAATCCTGGCACCGCTACCTCCTGTGTGGTCTCAAGAGAATGCCTTGGCCTCTGTGAGCTACAGATCCACTCCCTGAGCTTCCACGGCCCACCTTGTAGGGATGCCCTGAGGACTGTATTGATGTAGCTCACAGGATATAACAATTGAAGCCTGCTACCTTCAGAAATAGTTGCTTGCTAACCATATTAATCCAACTCGAGGGTCCCAGTCAGGGGACAGAGCAGCAGAAAGGAGGGCAGCTGATGTCCAGATTCACTGTCTGCTTTCAAGACCCACATTGCCAAGCTTCCTGGCCCTCTGGCTCCCAACCAGAACTCAGAGCAGAGAGGAAGGGTCAGGATGTTTGTCTCCCTGGAGGGTCCCCATAGCTGGCTGTATCCCTTGAGCAAATATCATGGCGCCTTCAGATATCCCCACCACCTAACCCTGTCTGGAAGATGGCTACAACTCAGGCCCAGGGGTGGGAGCGGCCCACCACAGTGCCAGCCATGAGGTTCTGCAGTCACTCTGTCCATAACCCCTTTATTCAACTCTCCTCAAATTACCCAATTTGAGTATGGGATCTGTTTTATGGAGAGACCCAAACTGGTTGACAGTGGTCTCTTTCCTGGTCTGGCCAGACAAAACCTTACTCTTTGGAGGATAGTGCCTCAGGATCCCAACTCTGGCCACCAGCCCCATTTCCCTCTGAGCTCTTGCACCCTGGCAGGTCTCTCCCAAATCTGTAGACCCCAAGCCCTGAGAAAGGACCTCTGAGGAGAGGGAAGTGGATAACATTGGGCCCTATCAGCAAGCACACAGGGTTACATTTGGGCTCAGGAAACACCTGAGAAGCAGACCACTGGTCCTGCACATCAACGAAGATACCTGAGTGTGTATTTATGAAAAGGTACACAGAGACAGGCAGTGGCATCTACCTAAGGTACAGAAAGCTATCAAGAACCACATAGGTATGTATCTGCTAATGGTAAAACACTGTTTCCACATCCTCTGTCAACCAGCACCACACAATTGCTTGCGCAGGGAAAACCCTGCTTGTTTGTGCAGTTGGTTTTCTCTAGTGGTTTCCAAAATGAGAAGGATGGTTATGGGGACAGTCCTTAAAGATGTGTGCATCTTTGAAAGAAGAGAGGAGAAGAAGGGGAAGGAAGAGGAAAAGTGTATTTTTATGTTGTGTACAGCAAAAAAGATGGGGCTGGTTCGAGGCAAGAGCATGGTCCCGCTGGAAAGGCGTGAAAGGTTACCCCAGAAAGGACAGCTAAGGGTCCGAGTTTGGGACACAAGAACAATAGCAAGGAGGTTTCACATTGCAGTCCGCCGAAATCCCTGGTAGCACAATGCAATCAGTTAAGGGCAAAACCGAATCAGAGTAACTAAGAGGTAGCAGCTGTTTGTCTTATTGGAGATTTCGAGGATCTCGAAGCTGGGCAGGGGAAGGAGGTTTTCCTGGAAGAGACTGGAGGGCAGAGTTGGGGCCGAGGGTGCCTGTGGCTGCAGTCCCAACCCAGAGTCAGTTCTCAGGTAAGTTACACAGTCCCCACAACATATAAATTAAAGTTTAGTTCTGTGTTTCCATATATATCCTACATGAAGGCTAGCTAAATATTAGTGGAGTAACAATAATTATTAATAACAATAATCGTCATAATAACAATAATTAATAGAATAATAATGCCTTGGGGCATCAGGGAAGGGTCCTTCATATGGTGGAAGGCCCTGGGGAGGCTCTAGGTCTGGTAGAAGTGGTGGTAATGGTGGTGATGTTCGTGATGGTGGTGGTGCTCGTGTCTCTGGACCGCCTGCCCGGCCTGGCTCTCATACACCACCATGGCGGGCAGCTCCCTCACCTGCTCCCGTCCCAAGACGGTGCTCCCAGTGGCCAGTGGTGCCTGCAGGCCCCGGCAGCCTGGCTGGCTCTCCTTGGCTCGGTGCTTGTGCTTCTTGTGCCCGAGAGGTGCCAGGCTGGGGAGAAGGGCCGGGCTGCCGGCCAGGTGGGCAGAGGGGGGCACAGCAGGGACAGCAGGTGCCAGAGGAGGTTTGCTTCTGGCCCCTCTGGCCATGTGGCCCACACCCATGCTCTTTCCCTGGGCCTTGGGGGACCTCACAAAGTGCTTGCTCCCATCCTGGGTACCCCGGAGCCGCTGCTGGAGCTCTGAGACCTTGGCGAATGGGGTGTCAAGGAAGTGGAAGGAGCCTGGGTCCGCACCTTGGGGCTTCCGGTGTGGGATGTGGATGGCTTCCGGCTCGTGGGAGCGAGATCGAGTAGGGTTGGAGGTGCGGGGGGGAAGTTCTGACTTCTGGGCCACTGAAGGGGAGCCTAGGAACCAAGTCAACAGACATTTAATGAGCACCTTCCATATGCTGAAGCTGAACCTCAGGAGTCACCCTCCTCCCAGTTCACCAAGACTGGTAACACCAGCTGCTGTCTGTCAGAGCTACGCCCCCAACATGACTGTAGCTCACTGCCTTGGAGGAAAGCTCTTTGGGATGGACCTTTCCTGTCTGCTAACAGGAAGAACTGGTGGGTCTGTGGTAGGTCTTCAAAAATAATTCTCTGAGAAAGCTGCGAAAGGAGACATTGGCAGAGACACTGATAACTAAGGTCTGAGGGAGAAATTCTATTACACAGAGAATTAAACACAGGAGGGAAGGCACTGGGGGAATGAGAGTTAGCAAGAGTCCATAGATGTGGCAGGCTCACAGAGCAGCGTTTCCCTGGATGCAACAGCTGTGAGCAGTCAGACAGGCCACCTAGGGAACAGGGTTAGGTGGGGTGGGATGGGGCAGGGAACTGCTGGTTCTCACTATATCCCAAGCCCTTGGATTCTATTTGATTTTCTTCAACTCTGTACATGTATTACCTTAATTTTGAAAATGTTTTAAAATGTCACCTCCTCCAGTAGAGTCTCCAACCTGCCCAATAAAAGCCACACCTCCGCCCAGCCCAGGGGAAGAGTTAGCACACCGGGCACAGTTAGTTCAGCCTATCCAGCCCCAGCACTCACCAGCTACCCCCAGGTAGGGTTGCTTACCAGGCCCAAACTGGGATGTGTAGTTTTCTATCCCTGCGAGGTCTAAGTAGTGGTTTCTCCTCTCGATGTTCTCATCCACGCAGTGGTGGTAGCAGCCAGACTGCTCCAGGTGGCTGTCGCCTTGCAACCTGTAGCGGAGAAGGCAAGTAGATGGGCAGGCTTGGCCACCAGAGGGGGCAGCCACCTCCATTCATTCCCTTCTAGGTCTCCAGAGGGTACGAATAAATATCTTTCTCCTTGGGAGGAGGAATAAACATCTCTTCAGTCCGTGCCTCTATCTCCCCGCTGCCCACAAAGATACAGCCCACTGCCTGGCCTCCCTGCCACTTCTGAGAGGAGTGAACAAGAACTTCACTCTGAACAGACCCAAAGCAAAAATGATGGGGTATTGGTCAAAAATGTAAGAATGCTCAAAAACCAAGCTTCAAACCATATGTGCCCATTATAGGCAGACAGCCTAACCCCACACCAGCTCCTCAGAGCAGGGTGGGCAGCAGAAAACCCATAAACAGTTAGAATCAAGGCTGGCAGGCTCCATGACTTTCCCCAAGGCCCAGCACAGGCCCTGCTTCTGTGTGTGTGTGTGTGTGCGCGTGTATCTGTGTGTGTATGCATGTGCCCGTGCACGTGTGTGCATATGCACGGGGCTTGGAGAAAAGGCAGAGCCTTCCTTCTTTCCTGAAGGACTCCGAACTCCCTTACCCCTTTCAAAGACATCTATGATCTGCACTACCTCCCTGACTTCCACATGCCTCAGCCCTGCTCTAATCTCATGCCCACCTGGAGACCTCATCCCACCCACACTGAGCCCTGCCCCTGCCTAGATCCAGGAGCTTATTCACTGCTTGGCTCACCAGGTGTGAATGCAGCCACACACTTGCTGCATTGTGTTTCCCAGTCTCTCAGTGCTTTCCTTTAAACAGCCCTCCTGCACCCCCAGCAGGTAGAGAAGTGATAACAGGTGACAGGTACTTGATGCCCACAAGCTCTTCCCACAACTCTGAAACCCCAAAGCCTAAAAGCAGGATTTTTGTAACTGCTGGGCAGTCAGGCCACTCAAGAGGATGGCGAATGTCTAGGGCAGTGATAGTGAACCTTTAGAGATTGAGTGCACAAACAGCAACCCAAAACCAACTTATTTATCACCAAGTGCCAACACTGCAATTAAAACTGAATACTGAGGATTTAGTTTAGAAAAAACAACTCATATATTAACATTGTTTGTCTTAAGAGACAAATAACATACATACCACTGATCTAAGGTCTTTGTCTCACTGGTTGAATATGCACACATCCCCTAGCAGAAACACCTTATGGTGGGGCCCAGGGCACTGCTCAGACCCCACCTGTAATGCAGGATAAGTGCACAGGATCACCCAGCAAATGCTGAATCCAGATCACAGCCAGCTTAAAATTTTTTTCAAGGGAGTAGGGGATGGGATGGGAACTTACAACTGGTTATTTTTTTAAATTTAGTTTGATTTTTGAATCTGTGCATCTGAAATCACTGGTCCCCTGAAGAGATCCCAGATATAGCCTCCTGCTCAGAATCCTTCAGTAGCAAGTGCATAGCTGGTGTTCAGTACGTGCTTGCAGATACCAGGCTGCCACCCTTGTCCGTGCCTGCCATACCTGAGTGGGGCTCGCTGCTTCTTCTCCCAGCTTCGCAGCTCCTCGGCAGGCTTTGTCTCCGCTCTGGGCCTCACACTCTGCAAGTCTGAGCTCCGCCCGACAAGCATAAGAATCATCAGTGAGCCGCCTGCTCCCACCCACTTGTCAACCCCCTCCCAATCCATAGCTGGCCTTCAAGGCCCTGACCCCCACCCTCCCCAAAACACAGGCCTTCACTGTGACTGCTGGCCACACCGTGCCCACCTCCCTGCCTTTGCTGGCCTGCCAGCTAGGATTCTTTCTCTGCTTTCTCCCAGCCCTGCTCCTCCAAGGCCCTGCTGAAGTCCTTGGGCACCACCTAGGGCCCACAGCCCTCACCAGCCTGGTTGAGAAGGGCGCTCCTCTTGCTCTGGCTCCCATCTGGGGCCACAGTGAGCTTCACTCGCAGTGTCTTGCTCGACGTCGGGGAGTGGTTCACGGAGGAGTCGACTACCTCATAGATAGTGTGCAGCAAGCTGGTGATGTCCTGCACAGGGGTGGGGGAGAGGAAGCCCACCCCGAGCTTCAGTCACAGAGCATTTCCAACACAGCATACAGGGTCGACCAAGGCCTCATTCAGATGGGCTGACATCCGGCTCTGTCCTAAAGCAGGCCTTATGGCAAAGAGTTGGATGTGGCAGTTTATTTGGGAGGAGATCCTAGGAAGCAGAGGGTGAAGGAGCAGGGGAGCAAAGAGGGAAAAACGCAGAGAGCAGGTTATGGCCATCGGCCACAGGGGCTCGGTGGCACTGGGACCATTGTAGAACCTGCCTCGGCAGCCTCATCAAATATGGAGGGTTTACAAATCAGCCCAACCCACACCAGGGAGAGGAACCCTGGGGATGCTACACCCCTGTACTTTCAGGATCTGAGGCAGCTCCCTACACCAGAAAGGGATTATGGGGGTCACTGTCCATCATGGCAACAGGTGGACTCAGAGGCAGACCCAGAGAATGTGGGGTGGGCACCGGCAGTATCTGCTTTGGGTCTGATGAGCACCTCCTGAGTGAGAACTGGAAAAGCACAGGTGTCTCTGCTAGGGCTGGAATTACACTCCTTCCCAGTGCTGATGCTCAGGTTCTAAGCTGTCTGTGGCTGGAGGAGAGGTAGTTAAGGTGAAATGAAGCCCAGAGGTGGGCCTTCATCTCATGGGGCTGGTGGCCTGATTAAAAGAGGAAAACACACCACAGCTCCTTCCCTAACCACAAGACACGGAGAAGGCAACCATCTGCCAGCTGGAAAGAGAGCCTTCGCCAGGAACCAAATCTTCGGCTGTGTCCACCCTGGATGCCAGCCTTCAGAACTGCGGGAAGAACGCTTCAGCAGTTTCAGCTAGGCCAGCTGTGGAGCTGACTAGGATGGTCTCCAGATGAGCCAGTCTGTGAGAACCTGGCTGGATCTCACCTGCTCTGAGGCCTCAGCGACCCCTATGCCAGAGCAGGGGGTGGGTCTCTCAGTCTTCTGACTGGGGGCACAGGTCCTGGCACCAGGCTCCTTGAGTCTAAGAATCTGTTCAGGTCACTGATCTGAGGGGCAGCTTCCTACTTTAAGTGACACTGAAACTTCTGGAAAAGATATTTTCTGTCTCTCTCTACCAGGCCCATGGATGGTTTTCTGCCTGGCAATTCTTCGTGGGCTCAGACTCAGCCCTCCCTTTACCTCCTGGAGCTGAGAGCAGAGCCGATCCCAGTGCTGCCATGGCCAGGTAGGTGTAGGGGGCGGCTCAGGGTGGGGGGTGCTGGGTACGCACCGGCCCATGGAAGGTGGTAGCCATACAGCTCAGCTGACTGTCCTCTGACTGCAGGCTGAGGTTATCTCAGAGAAGCCAGAAATCCAGAATCTTCTGTGAAATCTTCATAATCATGGATACTGACATCTAATTTAAATCTTGACAAAACTTTCTGGGGGACCACACCAGAACACTTGGGGGCCAGATTGGATTTGGGGGGCCACCAGTTTGAGATCCAGGCTCCAGTGGCTCACTCCTGGCTTGACTGTCCCTGCTCTTCTGGCCCTGCAAGCCCTGCAGATACCTCTTCTCCCTCTTTCCCTTCCCTGGAGCTCTGCACAGCCACGCTTCCCACTCACCATCCTGGGAACCACTGAAGGAAGTGGCATCAGACAGATGGGCAACTGGGGTCCACCAACAGCATCCCCCAGGCATCACACCCCTCAGAAGGCCTGGGCTCCTGCTCTGTGATCTCAGCAGGCCCTGGCTGATTCAGGGCCAAGAGACACACGTGCTCTGGCAATTCCTGCGTGAAAACAAAGCCCACTGACTCCAGAGGGCCAGGCACATGGTTTACATCTTGAATATTCCCAGAAAGGTCCATGTGGTAAAGGCTTGGTCCCTGCGGTGGCACTGCTGGAAGATGGTAGAGCCTTGAGGCAGAGGGGTGTCATGGGAGGTCTTCAGGTCACTGGGGGCCATGACCCTAGTCTCTTCCTCTCTCTCTTTTTATCTTCCAGGTCATGAGGTGAACAGTTTTGCTCTGCTACACACTCCTGCTCTGATGTGTGCCTCACCACCAGCCCAGAAGCAACAGGGCCAACCCAGACCGTGAGCCACAGTAGACCTCTTTGTTAAGTTGGCTATCTCAGTAGTATTTGTTAGGTAACAGAAAGTGAACACAGGAGCCCATAAGTGCTTCCTGTCTGAGTGAACTCTTGAAGGATGAACTGAGTTGGATATGGCCTAGTCACTAGCCCTGGGCTGCTGACGCAGTGAAGTGGGAGCCTACCTGTCCCTGCACACAGCACTGTGTGCTCATAGCCAGCCAGATTTGAGAAGTGGCTGTGGGGCTAAAAACAGATGAGGGAAACACAGGCTGAGTCCTTCAGGACTCCAAGCCAACCTCCTGGCCCTCCATGAGAGGAAAACACAATCCAGAAAACACTTGCTCTGGGGCCAGGCTGGGCCACCTCCCTCAGAAAACCTTCCTGCTTCGCTCTCATCACCAAAGCAATCAAGGAGGGATGCAGTATGCAAAATCCCTAAGTAGCATCTGCCCACAGGTCTCCACAGGCTCTCTGAGGTGGAGGGCACACAAATGTGAGGCTCCACAAATGTGAGGCTCCTCCGCATCTTCGGACCCAGGAAAGCATGAAAAAGGCAGCTATGAGCTGAGTCATCTTCACCACTGCATATGTCACAAGGAATGGAGATCCTACCACACCCTGAGAAGCCCACCCTGGCTGTGGGAGGAGCTGGTGAGATTTGGTAGCAGGTGATAAGTGACCTTCTGAGTGGGGCGTTCGTGGGAAAATGGGACACAAGTCAAAACTGGCAGAAATCATCTTGCTATTGCCAAGGGGAGAGGCTGCGAGATGAAAGATGAACACAAAGAAAAAGAACCATGAAGAACACCTAGTCCCGAAGACACTGAGCCTGTGGACCTAGCCGTACCAGATGCCAATGCCCCCAGACTGAGGTGCAGGTACATGAGCCAAAGTATTCCTTTCTGTCGTTATTACAGCAGCGGAGCTGCAGTTCTGTCACTTATGTGATAAAGAATCCCAAATGGTTACCAGTTGCAGCTTCCTCCTCTGATCCGTTCTAATGTCCCTCAAACCACAGCCTGAGGAGAATCTGGCATTTACAACCTGGGTCTCTCCTCTGGTAGCATAAAGACAGTGCCCTGCACTAATCACAGAGTAGCAAATGCTGGCCCTGGCCCAGCATAAGTGATGAGGGCAAAGCTCCAAAGTCTCTGGGACACCTGGAGGCCCAAATGCTGGACGAGAGGCAGCTGTGGAACCCAGGAGTGATGATCACAGACCTCTGTGCTGGTGCACAGAGCGCCGGATCTGTAGCAGGTCTCACTCCTGCACACGAGGGCCCCCTGGGAGGGAGAGGATGCCAGATGGTGACAGGGGAAGAGACTCGGGAGCAGAGGAATGACACTGAACCTTAGCACCTTCCCTTATACCTACGATCAACTCCAGGTCGCTTGCCAGGCCTCCAAAGCCCGGAGGACTGGCCCTGCCACAGCTGTGGCACTGCTGCAGAGCAGCCACCACACCACCTCCTTCTGTCTCTCGCTGCCTGCTCTGCCCAGCTCTGCACACTGCATGGCTCAGCTCTCATGCTAGGCCGCCTCCTCCAAGAAGCCTCCCAGGATACTCCACCGGCCTGTCATGCCACCCTGGTTATTTCTTTCACTAAACATATCTCAGCTTATGGTTATCCTATAATTGTCTTCTGTCTCCTACATCAGATGTCAGAACCATACGGCAAGGAGCTATGTCTGTTCCCTCTGTGTCCTTGGGCTTGGTACAAATAGGTACTCAATTTGCAAAGACAAAGGCACGGAGAAAAGGTGAGAGGAACTCAGGGGGAAGCATGTTGTGGGAGGAGGGCTTCAAGGGGAAGAGAGATGCAGCCTTCGAGGAGGAGGAAGATCAGTCTGGGATCAAGGCCAGGGCTACAGCTGTGACTGAAGAGTCACTGATGGGACCCACAGAGTGGGGGTGCTTGCTCCTGTGCCAATGGCAGGAGGTGCCCCATGGCCTTGGTACCCAGGCTCTACCTTTAGAATGAAACAGGGTGAGATTCTGCTGGGGCTCTGTGCTGCCCTGCCCTTTCCTAGCAGAGGCACTCCCCAACTGAACACAGGGGAGCCTGGCTGCCCTTTTCTGCCAGCTCTCCCTACTCACCATAGCTCCAGGAAGCCTCTTCGTGTCTCCAGGAGCTTCCAGCAACTCTGCCCCTGCCCCTCCCTGCAACAGCCTTCCCACAGGAGCATGACCCAATACCTGGGTTCCTGTGCCTGAGGGCCTGGAGGGTGGCAGGAGGCCAATCAGGTGCACTCACCTCGCGGGTGACCTTGCCATTGTTGTCAAAGTCATACAGGGTGAAGGTCCATTCCTGCCGGCTGTCCTCCTCCACGGACACATCGCACTGTAGCTCCTGGACACACACACAGGCGGGGCTGGTCACTCATCAGCTGAAAAACTGACCAAGGGCTGGTGGGTGCCTGGGCCCTGAGGCCAGGCCATGAGGCAGCCCCTGCCCTCTGACTTCCCAGACCTGAAGGAGGGAGGAGCAGTGACCAAAATATGAGCCGCCAGGGAGAGAGGCCCATGGGGCAGCAGCAGTCTCTGGGTTGTCAGAGACAAAGGAGTCACAGGGGCCGGAGAGGAGGCTCTGGAGCCCAGGAAGGATAAACCCGGATCAAGGGCCAGAAGCTGCTGGAGGGCAACAGGGTGCAGCAACTTAGGAAGCCAGGAAGGGCAAACCACTAAACTAAAAGTACAGGGATGGGCATGAAAAGCTGAGATTCCACAGTCCAACCAGTTCAGTCCTATAGAGCTGTGGGTCCCTGGGGTTTCTTGGTGCCTCAGTTTCCCCTTATATGAATTACAGAAAATGACAGTCTCTATCCCATAAAGTTTCTGGGAAGATTAAATGTCCTCCCGAAGGCAGTTTCCCTATCAAGAACCCTGCTTCTCTGCCCAAGGATACCTCCCAAGAGCCAGGGACCCAAAGGCCAGAGGCAACCTGGACAAGGGAAGAGCAGGAGTCAATGAACGAATAACAAGCCTCCTTAGGGATCCCTCTGTGGAACAAATCCTGAGCACATTCTATAGGGCTCCTTGGAAGATCCCCAGGGGACGGAGCCCCAGCCGCCAGTGTGTCAGTAACCCACATGTCAACCCGCCCTTTACTGGCCCCCTGCCCTCCTGCCCCTGCTCCCTGCTCCCCGGGATCCTCCCAAACACTTATGCGCATCCATGTCCTTGTCTAAGGGGCTATGTTGGGAGAGCCTGAGACAGGAAGCATGGTCTATATATGCTGAGTGCCAGGCACGCTGCCTGGGGCACAGAAGAGCCTGCTAATCCAACGATAATTTCATTATCATTTTTCACAGCAACCACTCGTGTCTAATCTGTGAATCTGCACTGGAAATGGGTGCTCTGTCACCCAAGCTTATACTCAGAGGCTGGCTGAGCACCTCATGGACAGTTCTAGAGGACAGGATGGCCATTTGAGGAAAGAAGTTCAAGACCCCGAAACTCTATAAACAGGGCTGGATGTTCCCAGACCACCCCTCTTCCTGTCTTGCTTCACCCCACCCCTCCTTCTGCCATGGAGAAGCTGGCATCCTGGCTGGCCCTGCACAAGGGCCGCTTGGCCCTCAGATGGCAGGACAAGGCCCCGAGGGTAGCAGGAGTGTGCAGAGCTCTGTGTCCCTGCCCCAGGCTCCTGCAGCTTCAAGCTGGTTCCCACCAGCGGCTCTCAGGTGACCCACACTGAGTTCAAAGCCATCTTTCCTCAGTTGCGACAGGCCTGCCTGATACCTACCAAGTGCCTGCTCTGCTCTCTGAGGAGACATTTCATGTGGTGCTATGCACACACATGCCTGCACACATCCACATGCACACCCTTACATGCACACAGCCCTACACCCATGTTCACATGTACCCCTAGACACACTCCCTCACATACGCCTCTATATACGTACCCTTATACACCCCTATACACACCTGTGCCCACACGCATACCCACATACACCCCTACACACTCACCAAGAGTACTTACCTGTTTCCAAGATGGCTTGGGCGTGAAGTTCAGAAATAGAAGTGAGTATCCCCACCTCTGCTGTGTGTGGGTCTCCTCGGCCCCCACCTTACCTGCCTAGGCTTTTCAACTAGACTCTGGCTGTGCCCCCTCAGCTCCTGCAGGAGGGGCTCTCGCTGAGGCCGTGCCCTCTTCCCCCACATCCCCACCCCTGCACAGGCTCGCAATGCAGCTGTGATTCCCATGCCACATGCCGCCAGGACCCAGCCTCCAGCCTTGCCCCTGCTGCTCCTTCTGCCAGAGGGCCCTCCTGTCCCAAAGGCTCCCTGTGCCCCCTAACTCCTGCTCCTGTGCTCCGCCCTTGTGTTGCCTGCCTAGTCCCTGCCTGCCGTGGTGCCCTCCCACGCAAAACTGCCAGTGTCCATCACCTGCACTGCCCCCTCTCCTGGCGTGGTGACTACGTCCCTGCTCACAGGTCCCCATCTTGTCACTGTACAGATGCTGGGCCTGGGTTACTCTTCTGTCCCCTCACCACGTGCTCTATGTGGGCAGGGCCTGTGCTAGTTCTCCACAGTGCTGTTGACACTGGCCTTGCCGACCACACTGCACACCCTCTCCAGCACTCTACCTGAGCAGAGAGAGTTCTGGCGAGGGAGTGACTGGCCCTGAAGTCGCAGCTGCCATGCTGACTCCAGAAATATGACTGATGGCCTCAGGAAGGAAAGCAGGAAACATGGAGAAATGTCGGCAGGCTCCCTGCAGGCAGCTGGGTCTGGCTCTCAGCATCTGACACTGTGCTTGGTGCACAGAAGAGCTTACTCTGCCATTCAGGTTGGCCAAGGACAGGTCAGACAGATCATAAGCTCTGGGAGACTACGTCCCTTGTGCTGATCACATGGGGAAACTGAGGCATAGCCGGTCAGAGACCTACCCCGGACCTCCTGCCTCCTGGTCACCAACCCCATCTGAGAGGGTCCACATGTCCCAGACAGTCTCTGGAGCTGGAACTCTTCACCAAGGAAACTGAGGCTAGAGAGGTGACTGCTGCAGCAGGGCTGGAATCCTGTTTCCACTCTCATGCCCTCCTCGGGGCTCCTGGGCCACTGCTCAGCCAGATGCTCTGGAGCAGCCAGCACCGAGCTGAGAAGGACAGGCAGTGCTGGGTCCTCACAGCCTACACTGGGCCTCAGTGGCCCCAGATCCTGCAGAAGGAACCTCTGATTACGCAGGAGAGGAGCCTTCCTTTCCGGACAGTCCTCAGCTTCCCTCCTGGCCAAACACCACAGACAAAAGAGAACCCACCTTGTATCGTCAGGGTGGAGCACCAGGAAAGGAAACTTACTTCAAATTTCAGCTGCTTCTTGGAGGCTGCGCAAGAGTCATTGGATTTCTCCATCCTCTTCTCATCTCCACTGCCCAGGCTGTCGGTCTTCTCGGGCGGCAGGGCCACTGCATGAGTGAGAAGTGAGGACGCATGTCAAGGTGGGTCCAGATGCAGCAGCGCTGTGGCTTTGTTCTCAGGGCCTCGGGTGAGGGACATCCTCACCACTCCCGCCCTGCCCCATCAAAATCCCTCTGCTCTCTGGCCCTGCAATGCCCAGGCCTGCCTCAGGGAGTCTCTGTTATGGTTTGACCTGAAATGCCTCCAGAAGTGGCGTTGATCCCCACAATGCAGAAGGCTCGGTTCCCAGTGCAGCAGTGTGCAGCACTGGGGCCTTGAGAGGCGACTGCATCATGAGGGCACTCATCTCAAAGATGTGCTATTAGGAGGTGAGGCCTAGTTAAGGAGTGCATGCCTTTGGAGGAGGTACTCTCTCTCCTGCTCCTTCTCTCTGTCCTCTACCTCCTGTTTGCTGTGAAGGGAGCGGCTCTGCTTTACCACATGCTCCCTGTCATGATGTTCTGGCTCAACACAGGTCCAGAAACTAAGGGAGCCAAGTGACCATGGACTGAAGCCTCTGAAGCCAGGAGTCAAAGTAAACCTTTTTATCCTTTGAGTTGTTTATCTCAGGTATTTTGTCATAGCAATGCAAAGCTAACATACCCTCCATGATACATCCACATGTCTCTCAGGTTACCCCAGTGGATCCCCACTCTCTGCCCCAAGTCTGTAGCCTAAATAACCAGCTTGTGACTTCAGTGCTCTGCAGAGGCCACGACTTCTTAGGAAGATCAAACCAGAAAGCAAGTGGACAAGGGCACCAGCTACTGGAGTCCGGAGAGAGAGTGTGGGGACCACGGCATTTTCTATAGTCTCACTGCCTTCTGTGCTGACATTCTGACCTCTTCAAAGATGGCCCTGCCAGGGCCCGGCATATGGCACATTAGTGAGTGGACATGACGAGGGACAGAAACAGCACAACCAGGCTGGCGTGCACACGTCCACAGCAGCTTCAGGGAGCATGCTCATCCTGTGCCTCTGCTCTCCTGGTATCCTCCCTTCTGCCAAAGGTCATGGTCAGTTTTGCATCCTTCCAGGAGCAGAGGGAGGTGCGAAACCCCATGACCCACTGGCACCATTTTTGCATGAACACCTCCAGGAGGTTCTAGGAAGCTACCTCTGGGTAGCGCCATTGTCCTAGACCAGTGATGGTGAACCTTGTAGAGACTGGATGCCCAAACTGCAACCCAAAACCCAGTTATTTATCCCAAAGTGCCAACACTGCAATTAAACCTGAACACTGAGGTTTTAGTTTAGAAAAAACAACTGTTATCCAATGCTCAGCTGCTGGAGTGATTCAGCTCACATGCCAACAGGAGGGGCTTGGCCTTGCTAGGGACTGCTTTCTTAGAACACCTCATAGGTCCCCTAGGCAGAGTTCCCTGTTGCCCCACAGTAGTGATTTTGTCATCCTACTTCCCAGGTAAACAAGCCAAGTGTGCTCTGACCTGAGGGTGGCTGGGCTACTGGAAGGACCATACAAGGAACCATGCAAGGAGCTGAGATTTTCCTGTAAGACAGAAAGATCAGGAGGACTTTCCTAGGCAGTCAGGGGCCTGGAGAAATGAGGCACTGAGCCAGGAAGCTAGGTGGGGGCTTCACACACCCCCAACTCCTATGCTCACACACCAGCTCTGCAGACCAGCAGCCACAGGGAAAGGCACAGCAGGCACTCTGTGGGGTCAGGCCACATTTCTCCTGCTTGGCCCCCTGGCAGGCTGAAGGTATCTTCCCAACACAGTGCCTGCAAACCCTGGTATCCCTGTGTACCTTCAGTGCCAGGCCCCCCCACAACACTACCCAAGCACTCAGTGTCCTCATTGTGACCCTGGGAGGCAATCATTATTATCAGGTCCATTTTCCAGATGGGAAAATGGAAGTGCACAGAGGCTTGCTGACAAATGACAGGGATGGGATATGAACCTAAGTAGCATGAATCACACTCACTACCATGTCGCTAATGGTCCTCCAAGCCCTTCACAGCTTCACTCAGGGGACCCATGCCTCTCTCCATTGGCCTCTTTCCATGGAACCAGGGAACAGTTCAGCACTGTGACCCTGGGCAGGTCCTGAACCTTCTCTGGATGTCTCAGTTTAATTTCCCAAATTGTATAAAGAGGATGCTGAGCCTTTTCCCATGGGACTCTTGTGTGGACTCAACAAACTATGACTGCAAAGGGCTATGAGCCAAGCCCAGCACACAAGGTCCTGGCCACAGGAGAAACAGTCAGGGGAATGACAGCCTCACCCTGTGACTCTTTTGGGGATCAGGACACTTGGCTTCTCAAAACAGAGGCTTCTGCAATCAAATGGACACACAAGCATTATATCAATACACCCAGCTGGACAGGGAACCAGAGAGGAGGGGAGGTGAAGGGCTAAAGATAAAGGTGCTCCAGGGCCAGGGATGTAGCTCAGTGGCACTACACCTGCCTCGAAAGCGCAAGGTCCTGAGTTTGATCCCCGGTGCCAAAAAAAGATAAGGGTGCTCCAGCTTCCCCATACAGACATATAGACAGGGTTGGGACAGAAGGCCACAGCTCCATCCAGGGCTCCCTCCCAGACAGCCAGGTTCCCTGTTCTCTGCCCCCACTCACACAGCAAGGTGACACTCCCTAAAGTAGTCAAGAATGTCTGCCAGGACCCAGGTCTCAGGTACTGACCCTGGTCCTATGCTGGTAGCAGGCACAGAATGATACCAAGTGAAACATAAACCTGGAAGACTGGGATTCCTCAGAAAGAAACCTCACCGTAAGGGCTGGGGGGCAGGGCCCTGGCATCCTCGCCAGCAGAATGGTTACAGGGGCAGGTCACTGACGCTGTCTGCTCTGATACCATCCATAACACAAAGGTGTCCCCTAACCCCGCTCCTGCAAAGCTAGGCATCCCTCTCCAGAGAGATCCCGAGTCTTGGGGCAGAGGGGTCAGGCAAATGATTGGCCAGGGACTCGAGAGCAGTCAAGAACAGAGCCTGGGCGACCCTGACTGCTCCATCCTACATCTACCTAGTACCCTGCTGGGTTCAGAGCTGCTACCACCATGAGTCCAGACAGAGCACCAGGTACAGCCACCTCCACCAGGCCACAAACCAAGTGATAGTCCCATCACTCCAAATAGTCAGGGAGCTGGAGCTCTCTCTATTCCCAGTGTGAAGTGAAGCCCTTAGTTCTGGAAGCCGCCAGCATCTCCAGCAGGTGCAACTGGACTGGTGGGAATGTCATCATCGAGCAGGCACACATGGGGTTCCTGTCTTCTGACTCAGCCACTGAGTGGCCTGGGCAGCCCTGGGCAAGGCTTGACATCTCTGGACCTCAGTCCCCTCATCTGTAAAAGGAGACAATGATGTCTCCCTCACAGAGCTGTTGGGAGAGGGCAATGAAGAAACTGCTCATTTAGCAGTGGCCAGCACACATTAAGTGCTCAATAAATGCTGGTTTTGTCAAGGATGTAGCTGAGCCACAGTCCCAGCTGATAACCCAGATGCAAATGATCTCTGTAACCTCAGGGAAAACCCACTGAGAAACCATGGAGAGATCATGGCCTGAAACATCCTCTATTCACTCCTCCTCAATGGGGTAAAAGAAGAAAAAGAAAAAGAAGAAAGAAAAACAAAGCCTAGTTCCATCTTCAAAGCTGCTGCCTTCCTCTGAGGGGTCCTGGCTGGAGATATAAGCTGACCAGGCTTATCGAAGCCAAACTTCAAGTTCAAAGGGAAGTTATCAGAAAAGCACCTTCAGGTTCAATGTTGCCTTTCATGTTGCACTTGATGAAATCCACAGACAAGGAACCTCTGTCCCTGTTCTCTCCTTCACAGATACACCCCTCCCCTGCGGTGCACTGGACAGCCTCAGCCCTTTCCTGTCCCTCCTTTCTGGCCTAGGGAGTAGCACCCCAGCCCCACCCCTCACGTGTCTGCTCCAAAGATCAGCATGGGGCGGATCGTGCTCTCTCCACCAGCGGGACCCTCATCCCTTCCCAGATACTAACAGGGCCTCATGGACACTGAACTGCCAGGGGTGCCTCCCAGCATGGGCTGTGCACAGATGCGCAGCAGGACTCACAGATGCCAGGGGTCTATCCTCTTGATCCACAGGGATGTGATCCACCACCTCTTTCACTTCCTGTTGTCCCTGGCCAGACGGGCAGAAGAGGTGCCAGACAATCAGTCGAAAGTCACAGACCCCAATGCCAGAGACAGGGGCTGGGACTCAGGCCCTGTGTGCTCCACAGATGGACCCTCTGAAGCCAAGGCCAACCGCTATGCCCCCGCATCCCTGGGGAGAACACAGTGCCCTGCACCCTCTGAGCAGCTCACGGGTGGGCAGGATGGGGTGGATGGAGCACTCTGCAAGCCGCCCAGGCCACACTAACCACAGCACAGAAGATGGACGTTTCATCGAGACAGATTGGCATCTGAATCCGAGTCCTTTCTCCACTTCTGGTCCTGGTTAACCCATCCACTGACCCCCAAGAGATGACCCAATTTCATGGGGTCTCCAAGGACTCTGAAGTTTCAAGTCAAAGTATCTTCAGGAAGCAGTACTAATTTGAAAGAAAAGGAAAGGAGCGAGGAAAGAGGAAATCAATGCCTTTTATTTGCCTGCGAAGCCCCTCTGGATGATGGGGAGCAGGGGTTTGGAAGCCATACCCTTCAAACCAAACCCAGACCACAGGCGATCTGTAAATAAAGGTTTACTGGGACACACACTCATACACTCTGTGTCCGGCTGCTTTCGCTCAATATCAGCAGAGTTGAGTAGCCACAACAGAAACCCTATAGCATACAGAGCCTACAAGAAGCAGTACCTGGCCCTCTACAGAAAAGTCTGTGGGCCAGGGTTCATGCTTGGTGAGCAAGGCATAGACTGGATTTCACCTACTACCTGCTCACTTGACTGGAAACCCTCGTGTACTACACATCCTCCCCATCATACATAGTAGACATAGAAGAAAGAAAATATCAACTCTGCTTTCTTAAAACCAATTTTCAGTCCAAGTGAGTCTGGGG